CTGCAGAACTGCAGTCAGCTGAAGTAGCCTGCAGTGCTGCATTTAACCACTGCGCCACCTCGGCTCAAACCTATTGACAGATTGTATTATCAATATTCTTGCGCCCAACTGCTACTCAAACATCTGGTTTCCCCTAGTATGTGTGTAAATATGCTGCAGGAATCCTGAGTGCAGCCAGAACACTTACTTTTTGCAATGTCCACACCAAGGAGCATAAAATTCTACCAGCCAGACACTTTCACTGTCCAGTACGGTCTTATCAAAGTTATCATCCGTCAGTTCAATCACATCCTTTTTGTCAGAGCCTCCACTTTCATAACTGCTCTGTTAAAAGAAACATTTAAAAAGGTATTTAGTACTACAGGTTTTTTTTACTCCAGTTCCAATTATCGATGACAATAAATGGATATACGCTTTCCAGTCAAGAGAGATTAGGAGAGAGAGTATATATATAACATTTTAACTTTAAAAAACAACAACAACAATCCATCTCTGCTTGAGATCAGTCTGTGCATGACGGAAAATGTAGAAGCAAAGTCAACCATCAATTTATTCAAATTGAGTTTTTCAACAATGAACATCTGGATACTCTAGTGGAACTAATCAGTAGAGCTTCACTTCCTCTATTTCAGTAGGTGTGTATGTTGAGCTGAGAATGGGGAAATTAAATAACAGAGTAACAGACTTGGAAGGAACCTTTGAGGTCTTTCAGTCCAACCCACACTCAAGCAGGAGACCCTGTGTATCATTTCAATCAAACGGTTGTCCAATCTCATCTTAAAAACTCCAACAGAAGTCTTATGTGGCTGCCTATCTTGAGATCTATGCAGCCGAGAAGACTTGCCTTCTCCAATGAGTCTCTTTTATTGATTGATGAAGATTTCTTTATAAATCTTCTAAAATAATTTTTAACAAGATGTAAACAATGCAACATGAAAGAAGAAACAAAAGGAAGACAAAAAAATAAGAATAAGATTAAAAATGCCTTCCAATCTTCTTACGTTATATTTTCCTTCTTCCTGCATTTTACTCTTTTTTTAAAAAAAAAATTATTTTATCAATTTCATATATACATTCACAATTATGTGATCTCATAACTGTTATTAATAATATGTATTTATAACAATTTTT